TTCCTTCCTTCCTTCCTTCCTTCCTTCCTTCCTTCCTTCCTTCCTTCCTTCCTTCTTTTATGGTGTAGAAATTTATTTTTCCCCATGGATGCTTGATGTTCTAATTGTATTAAATCCCACCAAGATTCTTTTTATTAAATAAATAAATAAACAAAATAATTGATGTTATTATGTAGGGGTCTTTACACAATTTTGTGATACAGACTGAAAACTGGATGATGTTTCCTGCAATATGTGACCATTGCCATGTTCCAAGATTTCCGTATAGCTAGAGTTTCCAGTTTGTGGTTTAATTTTCCAAGGTTGTAGTGATAGGTGAGGGGGGAAAAAACCAAAACAAAATCCTAGCTGTCCATGTCATGTGTTCCTGGCTCTCACTTGTGTATCCAGCTGCTAAATTCCATTAAAAGGGAGTTAAAAATACATTAAATATTTTCCTGTTGCGTTGCTGTATAAACAACTAGTGCAGTTGCCATAGGGACAGTAAATTAAGTGAATCATGGTCAGTGTGATGGGAAATGAAAGGGGAGATGGATTTTTTTTTCAAAGATAATTTTATGATGAGGAATATAATTTATCTATCCACGTTACAGAATAATTTTGAGAACATTTACCCATTTACTATTTCCTCTGCTTCAACGCCCACAAGTTTAGTGCTCATCACCCAGAATAAAAGAGCTGCACTTTTTTCACGTGACTACAGATTCATTCCTCTCTCTGGAACAGACAGCCCATTTTTGAGAAAAGTTAAATCTGAGAATCTCCCAATGCGTATTGCTAGCTCTAGAATGCTCTTAAACGAAACACGGCACATCTGTGCCAGCTTTTAATGTAAGGGCTAAAAGGATAAATCAAATAGTTTGGCACCTTGCCCATATCAGTCAGCTATGCCATTTCATCCTCTCTTGCAGCTGTTTACCAAAAATAGAACTAGAATAGTGAGCTGCAGATCATATGCCATCCAGAAGTAGAATCATATGCGGGCAAGAAATGTGAACAATGTTGGCTTACTACACTACCCACCTTGACATGGAGGGAGGGAATGTAATTCAGATAAATTTGAAGTGCATGACACTTTCCTATTCTACTGCAGGAAATTTCCAGGAAGGAAAAAGGGACAAAATGATGCAGGATTACATTATGAATTGCTTTTTAGTTTGACAGCTTGCTGGGTTGGTTTAGGGCAGTGTTTCTCAACCTTGGCAGCGTGAAGATGTGTGGACTTCAATTCCCAGAATTCCCCAACCAGCAAGGCTGGGGGTTGAAGTCCACACATCTTAAAGTTGTCAAGTTTGAAAAACACTGGTTTAGGGTCTATAAACAGCATGTTAATAATCCCTGCTTCTTTGACTCCTTGAACTTGTATTGATGGAAGCAATCCTCATTACTATGGGGAGCAATTACCCAGAACATGTAAAAAGAACCAAGAAAATCCGAAAAATCAGTTTACTTTCAGGATAGGCGGCCTGCCAAATGTAGTATAGAACCAGTTTGCCAGTTGTCTGGAATTATTGATCTAGAATTATTCATTTCTACATGATTCTAGGCATAAAATTTACTGAAATTAATTTTATTGATTTATATTAATTGTGGGGGTGAAATTCATTTGGAGTATGTTTTGAGCAATGCAAATGTTGATTGGTAGTTGAATAAATCACATGTGCTAGAAGTAGATTAATCCTTTTCCAGATAAATATATATACTGAGGTTATGTGAAAATAAATAAAACAGATTTATTTTCTTTGCTGTTGAGTCACATTCTCTGATTTTCATGTACAACAGTCCATGTAAGCCACATTGGTGTCAGTATTGCAATATTGTATTCAGCTTCAATGCAGTAAATGCAGCCACTGAGACAATCCGACTGAATTGTTGTGCTGAGATATGTAATGTTAGGGCAGACTTGGACTGCCAAGCCTGGGGTGCCAAGGAGAAAATGGCTTCCCCACCACTATTACATTGTGATCGTTGTTGGTCATATTAGCAAGATTGGTGGCTTATTAATGGCTAAACAGGATGTTGATATTGGAAAAAAATCCCAACTTTTTCAACGTTTCAAAAAAGGTAAGTCTTCTTGTCATTTGTCAGCTCAAATTTGTTTTCCCAAGTATTGATTTTCTTCCCAAGGGACAATTTGCTTTGTGTTCTTTAATATCATTCATATTTCTAAAAAGAAGAAAAAACATATTTTACCCCTGTGGAAAATCAGGTATTAAGTCACCCAAAATGTCTTTTTCTTTTTGTAGTAACAGTTTAGAAATTGTTAACTAAACTTTTTCCAGCTGGTTATCCTTACCTATTGTGTGTTGAACAGCAGTTCTCAGAATCCTCCAGGCATCGTTCTTTTGGGAATGATGGTAGTCATAATCAAATATAACTCCTGGGCACTTTCTTGGGGATGCTTTATTTATATTCCATGCATTACATTCTTCAATTTTGTCTATTTGTAGGTTATTAATAGAATTTCAATTATTTTCCATCCAGACAAGATATGATTATCTGCAAATCAGTAGCATAAAGATATTGCAGTATTGGCTATTGTTGGGTGCAGAATTAAACCGAGATTAGCATGTTGCCATTAATATGAATGAGCAGCAGCAGGCCCCCTTCTCTATTTTCCTCCTTTGGCACAGTCTCAATAAGAGAGTGGAAGTGTTTGCTTTTAACTATAACTTGTTCTTCCTGCAAAGCAATTCAGATTAAATATAATTCCCAGATCTGGAAAACAATAAAACCCTCTAACCCTAATCCAATAAAACAAAGCACACATATATCACAATATACACGTAAAGGTGATTCAGTTTTTAGACAAGTTAAATGTGGCCCACACCAAATCATATTGCTCAATCGCTCCATTACATTAATAGAGTGCCAGTTCAAAGGCTGAGACTAAACACATTTCTCCAGTTCAAGATTTTAGGTCTGGAATAGTAATTTCTCTCTAACAATGAAAAATGATCTTTTTCGTTACCTACCAAGCATAATAAATCTAGCTGGATTGATTGATACACAAAAACATAATTAATACAGCCGAAGTGTTTGGTATATAATTCAGTTATCACATTAACATCTTTAAACCTTATTTCTCTTTCCAAAATCATATCAATAAAATGTGAATATTAGATTCAAATGGGACAACTGTAAGACAAATCTAAATCATAAGTGCCAGAACAAATATATCTCCAGCATAAAAACATTGATATCCAACCTACCTTAGACATCCACTGAAGTGTCCAGTAGACATGGACAAGACTCTTTTGATGAGTGGACTTATCTTAAGGTCATTAGAAGCATATGACTTTGGTGTGAGTACTATATATATTTGCTGAATGTTGATATATTTAACAAAACACACAAACATGAATAAACCATGTACTGTAGGTCCCTTTATTAAAACTACTGTCAGGATTCTATCAGCAAGCAGGAATGGAAACAGATAAACAGTACTTCAAGGATATAAGAGCTTCTGATAAGTTAAGCTATATTGTGGGAAAATGAATTAAGCCATTATGAAAGAATTCCAGTAACAAATGTGTGTCAAATGTAAGCTCTATTTATTGAAATCAAGGTTTATGTTCTTGTGCTTCTTTCTCCATTTACACAATATAACTTTGGAGTGGGAGGAACAGTTCCTATCTGTGTTTTGCTTTGGTTACAGACTGATCTGGTATCAGGCTCCTTATTTATATTTTGTGAAAACTTGCTCTCACAACTATACTGATTAACAATAAGAAAAACGTATGCTAAGATCTCATGCTTCATGCAGGGTGATTCATATTCCCTTGTTACAAACTCACACACAAAACACGTACAGACAATAAGCATTTGGATGACTCTTCCAGTTGGTGTCTCCAGACAGAAGACATCTCAAAGTTTCAAAAGGATGCTTGTGTATCCCATATAATCTAGTGCATCTTACTATGTTGCTACATGGCCACAAGAACATGAATCCTTCAATAGAGCAATGTTTTCTTACCTAGTTCTTTAATTATTTCTTTCTTAGTATAACAAAAGGGTTTTAACAAATTAATGCATTTTGTGTGTCAATTACAAATTATTGATACTGAATACAACAGGACTTCTGCAGCATTGATTTCCAATGCCAAACTCTGAACTTTTCATTCTGGGTAGATATACTATAATAGTCTAATCTTTAAAAATTTGGTATTCTTTGGATAGATTGCTTTCGGCAATTGAAATAACTTTAGCTAATGTTCTTGAAGAACTGTTGCTTGAAACAACTGAAGTGGCAGACTGAAGACCTTTGGGCTTGCAAGAAATCTTCATCCTTTCCTGAAATGAGAGGATCTGGAAAGGAGTTATCCTTCAGGGCTAATATCAGGCAGGGTTGCATCTTTCAGGCTCCAGATCTGTAAGGACTGTTCCTGTTCTCCTGAATATGGGAAGGGAGATGGCTGACTAACAAAGCTAGATTTGTTCAGAATGGTGATAATAATACCAGAGACTGATGATAATTATATCAGACAGTGAGGATGGATCTATATCCGTCTCTCTATCTCTCTCTGTATCTCTATTCTCTGTACACACATCCCCCTCCCACCCCCCACCCCACATATACAGTATATAATCAGCAGGCAGAGCATAACTGAGATTCTAAGGCCAGGAGATTCCAATAGTGTGATAGGGTTGCAAGTAACTAATGGTGCATAAATAATATTGCCGGTGGGGGGGGAGGGATTTCACATTCTAGCACAATTGTGTGTGCAATGATCATAACACTAAAACGTATACAACATAATCTTGGGCCATTTTTTCCACAACATTTGAAAAATTACCAGTACGTTTATCCCAATATAACATTTTACGCCTTTTGGATGATAGGTGAAGTAAAGCAAAAATTATAGGCTCAGATGTGGAGCGACACAGTTTTAGATCTGTGTTCAGTTGTAAAGATGTGGTCAGGTCACACCAAGTGCACATTAGAAACTTATTAGGAAAATAAAGGAACAGACAGCTGTGAATGAGAAGGCTTCTTTACACTGGAAAGGTTCCAAAATAAATTGCTATTAAAAAGTAGAGCCCTGGGTTATTAGGTTATTTTTGAATATACTGTCAATACAGACATTTCTGACTGAAATCTGTGGAAGAGGATCCACCAGGGTATAGGGTTTACTGTAAAGACATCACATTTACATGTTCTGCTTGCATACTTGCATGGGATTACATCAAAATTCAATCTGTCTGAAAAATTGAAAAGTGGGTTATTAAAAGAAGGTAACAGGAAAGGAAGGAAGAGAGGAAGAGGAAGAGGAAGAAAGAATAGCCGGGCTGGTAACCATTCCACAGAAGTGTCATGAAGATTAAGTTCCTATTTACTTATCAGATATTAAACCTCACTGAAAACTCTGGTAGAACTGAACAGAATTGTGCTACAAAAACAGAGTAACTTTTAGAATGTCAGTGGAAGAATCTCCAAATATATTCTTTCTGGAAAACAAAATAATAAACTGAAGTCATGTTATATTTATTTCACTAAGTATTTTTTGTTCAAATACAACATATTAACAATTTCTTGTGATCACTTAGTTTTGTAAACCAGATCAGTATTTCTTTTCAATTAAGTATGGATATGACTGCAGTATGATATAGTTATGGTCCACACATTTGTAGAAAGAGCCCCAAGCAATCCCAAAAAGAATTCCTTAACAGTGGGCACAGCTACTAAAAAAACAAAATGTGGAAAGTCTTCTGCAATTCCTGTTCATTTTCACCATTCTGGATGGATTTTTTAGACTGGGGTTGTGCAAAATTATATGATGCCAAAATGATGGCATTAAGAGAGTATTCCTCCAGAGTTGACCTGGATTTGCTACTGTTGTTCTCAAGTAGATTTTTAAAATATATATTTTAAGTGAAAAAGTGAATCATCATGACAAACCTGGTATTTATCATTGCTGATGTGTAGAAATTTAGAGTTTTTAGTACATATTCATCTCAAAAGTGCCCTCCTCTTGATCTTCTTAGCAGCTGCTGCTTTACAAATGTTCTAACCCACATAAATTCTTAATTCCTGCTTGTACTTTTTGCAATGGAGATGATATCAGTAAGGTAATAAGAAAAAGCTTCCCTTCCCCTGGGTAATGTGCATTTTTGTACCTTATGAGAATATTGAATAGACTTCATTATTTTTTTCAATACAAGTCTGAATTCCGCCATTTGATTACCTAAACTAAAAGCATTTCAGTATGCCATCCATCACCCTGACCAGTATAAAATGCTGAATATTCAGATTAAATTGGAACTTTTTTTTCCTGTGAATAAGGAATTTGGTTCAATTCCATAATACACACTGTCTCTGGAGAGAGGAAATTGAGCTGGAGGTCGCTGAAGGCAAGTGAGAAAATTGTATTATCCAAACACAAAATTCTTTTTCTTCTCATCAAAACCTGAAATATAGCCATGGGGAATAAAGGGGTCAAGGGAGGATTCAATTAAAGATGAAAATAGAAAAGGTGCACTTTTCAACTTGCCTTTCATTTTTCCAAACAAGTGAGATCCTTGAAGTGCAGAATTACAGTAAACTATTTGTCAGGCAGTTTAAATTTTTACAAAATATGAATAAGAATATCTATACTTACTCTATAGGCTTGACTGAAATCCATGCTAGTTTGCATGAATGCTTGCAAATCTCTAGGCAGAAGCAACTGCCAGACTGATAGGGGTTTTCACAAAGACAGTTGTTGGAAAAACAATGTAATTCTGCATGGACCTTTAGTACGGTCCAACAAAGCTTTTCTTAGGGGAGGCTCAGAGAGATTATTCTCATATTTCTACATCTGTAAATCCTACTTTGAATGGAATGTGCACGTGTTTTGTTTTAAAATTGGTCCTTTCCTATTTGTTGTTCGACATTAACAGTGTTCAGGAATGCAGAAATAGCTTGGACGAGACTGAAACATCCTTAAGTATCTTAAGTTCTAAACTAAACAAGAGTATAAAACCAATCAATTTAGCTTTCCCTAATCCAGAATGATCCTTTTGGAACTCTACCTTACATTAACAGCATTTCCAAATAAATGAAAATATCCAAAGAGCCAATAAAAACAAGAACCTGGGAATGGGCTGTAGTTCAACTGAAGTGTACCTGCTAATGGAAATTTCCATTGCTGCAGAACTGGGTAGGCAGAATTCTGACTCATTTGTCTTGGTGGATCTCTATTGTGTTAACTCTGAAAGCAATCCTTTGGCTACTTCTGAGCCACATTGAGGCATCGGTGCAGAACTGTTAAAGTTTTAAACGGCTTGGTGTCCCAACAGCTTGTAGAGATGACCTCTTGTTTCCTCATGGCCTGTGCATTCAGAATGTTAGTTGAGGTGCTTTAATACGTGCCTTCAGTAAGAGAAGTGCTTGACTGACACAATAAATGCCTTTTGTTTACTTCTAAGGGAGATCCTACTAGCTTCAGGGTTGAATTCATTTAGGTACTGGTTTAAAAATGCTTCTAGCTGCCCAGCCATTTTAAAACTTAATTCAAGTTTATTTAGGCTGAATGGTTTTGAAATGGTTGCTAGTGTATTTCATTTTATTTCTATTTTTTAAAAATCAATACTTTAATATGTTTTTATTGTTGATGTACTTTCAGTTTTATATACCAGCCTGAAAGTCAGTTTGGGAGAACAATGGTCAAGATGTGTTGATAGTTAAATAGAAGCATTCTGGATGAAGACTTCATGGAAAAACAACATCCTGACTGAGAATCAAAGAGTTACTTTCAGTGAATGTACCCTGTCATTCCCACAATCAATATCATAAGCAAGATTGGGAAAACTAATTATATCATGGATTATTATTAGGTAAACCAATGGTTCTAAACTGGTGGTTACCATTTCCTATGCTTGTGTGCTATGTAGTTATATATGAGGTCTTGAATTTTGCCTGCTCTATATTAAATCTCCCTACGGATTCATTCACCCATATGAATTAATAGCAGTCATAATTCAGTTTGTTGTTTAAAGATACATCTGTTCTCCTCCTTATTTACTGATTTAACAAATCGACCAATGTTTCCAGGCTGTATCTAGATAGAAATGTAAGGTGCTAGTAATTGAAAATGTGAAATATTCTGGAAGTCTCCAATGATGATGAGTTAGACAGAAAAGCTGAAGAAGGTCTTGGCAGAAAGAAGTCCACACAAAAGTTAATTACAGGTTTCTGTGTTGAACATAAACCTCAGATACTGAGGCCCTTTTATTATCTGGACCACAGCATTAAAGTGAAGATTGCATTAAACTGGGTATCTCTGTACAGTAAGGGCATAATTATTGT